ATCTATCTATCTATCTATCTATCTATCTATCTATCTATCTATCTATCTATCTATCTATCTACCATCTATCTATCTATCTATCTGTGTTTGGAACCATTATTCAAGAATTTTGAGCATATGCTCCCACTAGTTATTTTAATGGTTTTTTTATTTTGGGGGTTCTGAAAGGGTAGTGCACATTCTGTAAAACTAACATTTGATGACATATCTTAGTGTGAAGGTGGTAGGTATCTTTACTGGATTGCAACTCGTGCAAGCAAGTATGAGTGTCTCTGGATTTGGACTAGTTCTGGAGTTGTGCCATTGATAACTCTAGAAATATTAGTAACACCCACCCACCCCCGCAGGCAGAGTTAGTGTATAATCTGGGAGTCCTCCTGTACTCATGAGTTCTAATCAAGGAATAGTTGGTAGCTATGCCTAAAACGTAGAAAGGTAAAGTTTTCCTTGTCCAGTCATGTCTGACTCTAGGGAGCAGTGCTCATCTTCATTTCTTAGCCAAGGAAACCAGCGTTGTCTGAAGACATTTCCCATGGTCATGTGGCCAGCAGTGGTATACGCCAAAAGTGCATGGAATGGTGTTACTGTTCCACTGTCCCACCAAAGTGGTACTTATTAATCTACTCACATTTGCATGCTTTCAAAATGCTAGGTGGGCAGGACATTTGCACAAATCCCATTTTATGTACCAGTTGCACCTTTTCTTGGATCTTCTGGTAGTCTTTCATGCCTTAGTCATTTTCAGATTGAATTACTGCAACACTCTGTCTTGAAAAGCATTTGAATCCTTCAATTGGTCCAGGAAACAATCGACATGCATAGTATTGGGTACATCTTAACTTTGATTTAGACTTCTCCACAACTGAGTGTAGGTATCAACATATATCTGCACTGTGAAGGGGTTGATGGATAAAAGTAGGTTGCAGATAGTTGTAGGTGGGTTGACGTGCATACCTCCCAAATGTCAACTATATGTTGTGTAGAGATGCATGTCCTTCATGCTGATTGATTGTCCCTGTTGGGAGGCAGGTGGAAGGCAAGTCACATTGTTGCTTGAATGCCCCCTATAGAAAAAACTGGCATTCACAAAAGTATAATGCAACAGCTATGCCATTGTCTCCGAATAACAGGCGCAAGTGTTCTCTGACTATAGTGATGAAGAAGTCTAAACCACGACTAAGTTTGTCTATGCAACTCACTGATGTAAGGTGCCAGCTATAATTTTTAAGGTCAAATATAGCACAGGGCCGAAACTGCCTCACCCCAGTCATTTCTGACCGTCCCAACAGGGCACATATACTTCAGGTCTCCTCACTGATATAGAGCCATCTTGGAGTCACACAATCTCTGTGACCATGCCTATCTTAAGAAACAGTATTTCCCAGCCCAGCCCCAGATCTAAATGTTTCTGACCCACTTGGCCTTTCAGAAGTTTATGAAATCCTGGTTACCCCTCCACAATGAGAGCTAGGTTGTTAGCAGAACCCGGTATCCATGCTTTTGAGATTGTATTTGTGAAGTGCTTTGACTACTGCTTTATATTGGTTATTTGCTTAAGATGGGTAGCTGTATAAATTTTCTAAATAAACAAACATCTTCAGACTCTCCTTCTCGTTCCAGATCAGTAATTTATGCTCTCTCGTTATTTTGCAGAACTGTTTTCCAAACCGATGTTAGTGGTTAATAAAACCAAGTGGGACGAAAACAGCATCGTACAAATTCAGTGTCAAGTGAATGGCCCAATGCCGATCAGTCTCTCGCTCATAAAGGACAACAAAATATTGATAAACTCCAACATTTACACGGCTCAACTCCGTGTATCTGACAGTGGAATCTATATGTGTAGAGCAGAGATAAACAACATTTCCAAGGAAAGTGACCCAGTATTTCTCCACATTTACGGTAGGTTGATTTAAAGATGTGAAGCCCTCTGTTTTTATTTCTGCCTTCTCCAACCTGGAGCTCTTCTAGATATCAATAAAGGAGAATATTTGTAGTTCAGGGTTGAAATGAGGATTCCTTGGTGCTCTCTGACCTTGCTTGTTTTCTTGCAGATGTTTCATTACCCAAATTAGGTAACATCATGATGTTTGGGTAATGAAATGTCTGCAAGGAAACAAGCAAGGTCAGAGAGCACCAAGGAACCCTCTTCTAGATATGCTGAGAGTCGGGACAGCTTGGAAATCTTGGAAATCTTAGCTGGCATGTCCAATGCGTTTGGAAAAGCCAAGGCTAAGGAAGGCTTTCTTATCTGATAAATTGGAAACCTTTATACGCTTGAATGCAAACCTTTCTGTAACTTTATGGTACAGGTAACCCCCAACTTATGATCAGTTGCTTAGTGACCATTCAAAGTTATGATGGACCTTTAAAAATTATTTAGGACCTGGTTCCAAAGTTCCAACAACTCCCCCCCCCGGGGACAGGCAGTCACATGACCCTTTTTGACCCATTCTTCAACTATCCCACATTTACAGCTGTTTGCGGTGCACCATGGTCATGTGACCAAGCTTTACGACAGTGTGTGATTACTCATGTTTCATTAAATGAATCAGCTCATATCTGTGTCCTGTGGTAGTGCATTTTTGTTCTGTGCTATTTTCATAAAGAATACAGTAATCCTCGACTTACGGCACAATTGTAGTGAAGTGAGACATTTATTAAATGAATTTTAACTTTACGACCTTCCTTGCCACAACTGTTGAGTGAATCACTGCAGTTGATCAGTTTGTAACTCAGTTGTTAAGTGAATCTGGCTTCTCTGTTGATTTTGCTTGTCAGAAGGTCTCAAAAGGGGATCACATGATCTTGGGACACAGCAATGGTCATAAGTATGAACCAGCTGCCAAGCATCTGAATTTTGATCACGGGGAGGCTTGCAAAGGTCAAAACTGAGAAAAACAGTCCTAAGTCACATTTTTCAGTGCCTTTGTGACTTTGAATGGTTACTAAATGAGCTGTTGTAAGTCAAGGACTACCTGTATTTCTGAATAAGGATAGACTGCACTTCCCCTCACCATTGTGTGTGACTTTCTTTCTGCATTTTCATTTCCCATTTTAGGAATTAACTGCTGTGCAATGAAACAGGGTTGTTTTATTATTTCAACTGCAATAATCTCCTAATGTGTGAGATAGGCGGCAAATAAATTTAGTTAGTTAGTTAGCCAGTCAGTCAGTCAGTCAGTCAGTCAGTCAGTCAGTCAGTCAATCAATTGATAATACTCTTATTTCTTTCCAGCTCCAGTTTCTCTGCCTGTCCTTTCTCAACCATTTTCCCAAGTAGGTGTTCTGGATAAGTTCTTTGTCTTACAATGCTACTCAAAGTTTGGGACTCTGCCTATAACATACTCCCTTTACAGAGGGAATATATATATCAGGAAGATTGTGACTGAACAAAATGTGCCAGCAAACTTTACAGTCAAAGCGACTAGCATCCAAGAGTCTGGACAATACAGGTGCCATGCTAACAATGGCCACTCTCTTTCACAACAAAGCAACAGGATAAATGTCACAATAATAGGTAACTATTTAGTATGCTTTTTTTTTTTGAAGATTGGCAAAAATTGCTGTTTGTCTGAATCTGAATATATCTGAAGGGTGCTAGGTTGGGAAAACTGATCTGTGGAAAACATTGATTTCATAAGGTTCCTTTGAAAAATCTTAGAACTCTTATGTTGCTATTTTTTAAAAAGATCCTAATATAGACAGGATTTCCTTGCCTTTGTTTGCTGTCTGGAAATGGATTCCATTAGAGATGACAGAGTTTTATGTTCACCTACAGCAATTCTATTTTTTTTACACATAAGCCCAATTCCCAGCCAATTTGGTCTAGTGGTGAAAGCACCAGAGTAGAAAACAGGAGACCCTGAATTATAATCCTGTTTTAGGCATGAAAGCCCTCTGGGTGACTATGGGCCAGTTCCTCTCTCTTAGCCCAAGCCATCTTACAGGGTTGTTGTTGTGGGGGAAATAGGAAGATAAAAGTATGTTGGAATATATTTGCTGTCTTGAATTGTTTGTACACATTATAAAATCAGGATACTAAATAAATAAAAAATAAAACAGTTGGGAAGGATTGGGACCTTTGCTAACCCAATTTAACCTGCTGCTAACTTGTGTCCATGTACTTTCATCCACAGCTCCTGTTGCTAATATAACTTTTAAAAGAGAACCAGAGGAGAACATAGAAGATGGCAATGGACTCGTATTTTTCTGCTCAGTTGCATCAGGATCCTTCCCTATTGAGTTCCACTTTTTTAAAGAAAATGATGGCAAATCCTTACATCAGGTCATAGAAAAGAAAAAACGGGTAGTTTCTTGGGCGAAGGAAAGCTTCACAAGCCAGGATGAAGGGAGTTACTTCTGCAGAGCTGACAACCAAGCAAAATCTTTTGTGGAAAGCCAGAAGGTCCTAGTCAAGGGTATGTCCTGCTCCTGAGTGCAGAAGACAAAGTCTATTGGCCCTGCCTTCTGTTATTGATCACGATGGGGAGGAACACGCATTGTGTCATCATGACACAAGGTGTAGATATTGCATTTGATGAGGTTAAATTTCACCTCCAAGAAGTACTAAGAACCGCTTCTTAGTACAAGGATTCAAAAGAAAGAATTGGTGTATTGTGCACCACAAGAGGATAAGGGATAATTTTTCTGCATTTCTGAAAACATTTTCTTAGAACAATCTTTCAGATTTTGTTCTATACAGTTCATTTTAGTGACTATTCAAAGTTACAATGGCACTGAAAAAAGTGATTTATGATTGTTTTTCACAGTTACGACCATTGCAGCCTCCCCATGGTCATGTGACCAAGATTCAGATGCTTGGAATTGGCTCATATTTATGACCATTGCTGTGTCCCAAAGGTCATGTGATCCCCTTTTGTGATCTGACAAGCAAACTCAATGAGAAAGCCAGATTCATTTCACAACCTGGTTACTAACTTATCGACTGCAGTGAGCCACTTAATAACTTTGGCAAGAAAGGTCATAAAATGAGGCAAAACTCACTTAACAAATGTCTCATTTAACAACAGAAATTTTGGGCTCCATTGTGGGTGTAAATAGAGGACTACATGTACAATATTGCAGATGCCAGGATGAAACTTAGATAGGATCTAACAGGAAACATGAATTATCCCAGCTTTCAAACAAATGCAGAGGTAGTCCTTGATGTACGACCACAACTGAGCCCAAAATTTCCATTGCTAAACAAGGCAGTTGTTAACTGAGTTTTGAACCATTTTACAACCTTTTTTGCCAAATGTTAAATGCATCACTGCAGTTATTAAGTGAATCACCTGGCTGTTAAGTGAATCTGGCTCCCTCCCCCATTGACTTTGCTTGTCAGATGATGACTGGGAAGGTTGGCAAATGGTGATCACATGACCTCGAGATAGTGCAACTGTCATAAATACATGTACATGCCAGTTGCCAAGAGTTTGAATTTTGATCACATGACCATGAGGATGCTGCAATGGTCGTAAGTGTGAAAAATGGTCGTAAATCACATTTTTCAGTATCACTGTAACTTCGAATGGCCACTAAATGGATGGTTGTAAGTCGAGGACTACCTGTCATATCTCTTCAGGGTCATAGATAGAGAACAAGTGATGGAACCACACGTACCACATAAAAAAATTGCCCTCTATGGACAAGAGGGGAGAATTTGCACCTTGATGCACATTTTCTCAGTTTGGTGTTAGAAGCTGTTGCCTGTACATCCGGGAATCTAACGTGCCAATGGAAAGAAGCTCGTGTTCTTTCATACCAAGCAGAAGTACAAAGAAAATTCCATTACACCTAGCCTTTATTATGTGGCTTTTCCTCAATATTTTGTCCAATTCTGTGAGAGCAGCGGTGACAAACTCAAGGGTGCTTACACCTGGCCCATGAGGCCATCCTGGAAACAGGGAAGGACTGGCCCATGGTGCTTCTGCCAGAGAAAACAGAGCTTGGGAGGGCTGCACATGGCCCTCCCAGGCTCTGCTTTTGGCTGTGATAGCCTTCTACAGCCCTTTGCCAGAGAAAACTGCTTAATTTCTCCCAATCAAGCAGAAAAAAATAGATGTCCTTTTTGCTAACAAACCAACAAATATATATAGGAATAGTAATGGGGGACTTCAGTTACCCAATTGGAAGTCTTAATTCCGCACCAAGTGAGAAATCGAAGAGGTTCCTAACCAACCTAGCTGACAATTTTGTTGTCCAAAAAGGTAGAGGAGGGAACTAAAGGCAGTGGTGGGATTCAAATAATTTAACAACCAGTTCTCTGCCCTAATGATTGCTTCCAACAACCAGTTCACCAAACTGCTCAGAAAGTTAACAACTGCTTCTCCCGAAGTGGTGCGAACTGGCTGAACCCCACCACTGACTAGAAGGACTTAATTCTTACAAACACAGAAGAAGTGATAGAGGGAGCTGAAACTTGCGGGCAGGAACCTTGGGTGAGAGTGACCATGTCATACCAGAATTCCACATAACGCAAACACAAGCAATAGAACATAATCATACCAAAGTCGGGGCTGAGAGCTGCAGGAGGCTGTCATGGCTGTCGTGGCCAAAAACAGAGCCTCAACGATTGACATCGAGCTGGCCACGCCCTCCCTGGCCATGTCTACCCCAGCCCTCCGAGGTCAAATACAACCCTGATGTGGCCCTCAATGAAATCGAGTTTGACAGCCCTGTGTTAGAGTAAAATTGCATGGCAGGATCTGCCTGTCCAGCTCCTTCCCATAACAACTCCAAGCGAAGGGATGATACAGGTAGTCCTCAGAATAATAGAATAACAGAGTTGGAAGGGACCTTGGAGGTCTTCTAGTCCAACCCCGTGCTCAGGCAGGAATACCATTTCAGACAAAGGGTTGTCCAATCTCTTCTTAAAAACCTACAGCATTGGAAGCAATTTGTTCCTCTGATTAATTGTTCTAGCTGTCAAACTGTCCTCAACTTACAAAAGTTCATTTACTGACTGTTCAAACTTACAACGGGACTGAAAAAAGTGACTTATGACTGTTTTTCACACTGATGACCTTTGCCGCCTCCCTATGATCATCTGATCAAAATTCAGATTCTTGGCAACGGACTCATATTTATGACCAATGCAGTGTCCCAGGGTCATGTGGTCATTTTTGCGACCTTCTGACAAACCAAGTCAGTTGAGGAAGCCAAATTCATTTAACATCTGAGTTACTAACTTAAGAACTGCAATGATTCACTTAACAGCTATGGCAAGAAAGCTTATAAAATGGAGCAAAACTCACTTAGTATATGCCTCGTTCAGCAGCAAAAATTTTGGGCTCAGTTGTGGTCATAAATCGAAGACTACTTGTAACATTTTTTTTTCAATATTCCTCTATTGGAAACCCCAGGGATTTTCCTCTTTCTAACATAGCTGGAGAGGATTGTGTTTCAGTAGCACCATTTCTGATCACCTTGTTTTGAAGAAGAGGAGTATGGAAACCAGGAAGGGGGAGGTGGAGGGTCAACCTTTTTAAACTCCTATTTTATTCTTTAACTTTGTGCACAAGATTATCAGGACAGTTAAAATAAACTCTAACTTAGTACTGTAACTCAGGGGTCCCCAACCACCGGGCCGTGGACCATTTCCTACTGGGCCGCAGGTTTGCTGGGCGTCGCCATCTTGTTTGACGAGAAAGTGCTTCTGGGTGAGCTTTTCCAGTTGGAAAGCAGCGTTTGGGTGCTGAAAGAATCCTCGCTCCTTAGTTTCATCGAAGGGGGGGGCTTCGAACGAAACTAAGGCGCGAGGATTCTTTCAGCACCCAAGGCAAGGTGAGCCAAGCGACTGTCCCGAAGCTGTCCCGAAGTGAAGCCCATCGACAAAGGTACAAAGGAGGAGTTGAAGGTGGCAGGGAGAAGCGGGGGACTGCTGGCTGGCCAGGTCGCTCGGCTTGCCTTGCCTTGTCATGCGTGCTGATGCCGGTACCGGGCCGCGGATCATTTTGTGATGCCGGTACGAGGCCGTGGCACAAAAAAGGTTGGGGGCCACTGCTGTAACTGATCCAGACATAGTGAAGGGTTGACACGGTAAGAAGATATTCTTATGATATTATACGCCTGAATCGTGACCTATTTTTCTCTTAATTTTTAGTTGTCATGGCTTCGTGGAAGAAAGGACTTATTATAACCGCAATCCTCCTGATTTTTCTTGCTGCTATAATTACAATCATTTGGTTGAATTGTCGTTCAAAAGCAAACGGTAAAACCTGCCTTAAAAATCTTTAGTTCTTACTAGATTAGTGAATAGTACAGAAACCTTCTTCTGAACCTTTTGTTATTAGAATTCATGTTGCATTTCCCTTATTAACCCTGATAAAAGGAATAAAAAAAGACCACCTCCACCCACCTCAATCAATACTCTTTTTTTTTTCTAAACTAAATTTGTGCTTCGTTTGTCCTGCATTGGTGCTTCTGCTGATTGGCTGGAAAGTTAAATTTTCAAATGCACGCCAATTTATAGTATTAGTGGATATGTTAGTGAACATAGTGAAAATGTTTATGGAGACTTCTGTTTCAGTATGGGGAAAAACTGAGATGACGGAAGAATTCGTTTGCAAGTTGAAATGGAGAAGAGTATTTGAATTTACAAAATGCAGGCATTTTCTAGGCATTAATCATGAGTTTGCATGCTATACTAATCCTAAATATAGTTGTCTTGGTCCTGGATTAACCCATTTAAGATTATATGTGAAATTGTTCAATATGAGGCATTCAAACAAATTATGGCTTATGGAACATTTGATATTCTTCTCCCAATTCTAAAAAAAAACAAAAACAATTAGCTACTGTGTTTTTATGTACTGTGTTTGTAAATCCAGGCCCATGTTTTAATATTTTATATCGAAAATGTTTACAACAATAATAAGAACTAATACAAACTGTGGTAGAATAGAGAAAAGGAAAAGGAAAGAAGGAAGGGGAAGAAGAAGGTAGGGTAGGGTAGGAGAGGAAAGGAAAGGAAAGGAAAGGAAAGGAAAGGAAAGGAAAGAAAAAGAAAGGAAAGGAAAGGAAAGGAAAGGAAAGGAAAGGAAAGGAAATACTAAAAGTGCAATAAGAAAATAAGTAGAGAAAAGCAGGAAGAAAGAGAAGTGGCTTCCAATGTTCTTCACATCAAGTATAAGTGCAATTATATTTTAACGTCTCTCTCTCTCTCTCTCTCTCTCTCTCTCTCTCTCTCTCTCTAAAGTCACATATTTTTTTATTTTTATGCAAAACGTTCACAAGGGGTTTCCAGTCACCAATGAATGTAGATATTGTCCTTTCTTTAATTAAAGAACTCTGCAAGGTCTGTCAACCCTATATAGTGAATATTTAGTTCCACGTGACCAGGAAAATTGAATTAATTAATATGTTTAAAAGGGAAAAAACAGTATATTTGAAGATATAAAAAATAATGTTCTAAAAATTTCATTGATCGATTAAAATTTATATCTGGTAGCAAACAGTAATTGAAAATATCTGCTTAGATAGCCCAGGAAACTCTTATATTTTTTAGGATATTTTTGTAGAACTATCCTATTTAAAACTATGTGATTAATTTTTGATTGTCAGTGGAAAGGGAATGTGTATGTTACTGTTCATAAAACTGATTTCTGGTCATTGGTTCTCTATGGGTTATAGAGATTTTTGTTGGTTTTGATAGCAACATTTTTACAAATGTTGTCTTTCAAGATTTTTTTCATAACTGCCCCATTTGCCATTTTACATGGCCCTACTTTACAAACTCTATTGTTATTTCTGATAGCTATGATGACAAATTATTCTTTAAGAAGTTAGAGAAAACTAACATGAGTTTAAACTAAGATCCATCTGCTTCCAAAGTTCTTTGTGCAGTGTTAGAGTAACAAGTATCAGAAGCACTTTTCCTCCATGTTCATTTGTTTATACAACTGCCTTTCTGTTTCTGCACTGCAACATAATAATTTATTGTTTTTTTCTTCCCCCTTATCAAGCGAAAAGCATTTCTACGGAGTTGGCTGTGTAAGTTGGAATTCAATTTTTTATTGATGATATATGTATATCGGTGATGATGATGATGATCATGATCATGATGATGTCATCCATTCAATCATATCAGATTTTTGCCAATTCTATGGGCCAGGTCTCTCCACGTCTTCCAATCTTGCATTACTTCTTTGAATTTTTCTGTGGTTGGTGTCAGCTTTGATCGTGTCCAGCCATTGTGTTCTTTGGCGGCCTGGTTTCCTTTTACCGCTAACTCTTCCAAACATAATTGCTTTCCGCACGTATATCTATAGGAAGCAATAAATAAATTCCTACCGTTATTCTGTAGGAACACACTCATTGATCTGCCCAAATGACACAACAAATAATTTAATTAATTAGTTAAATTATACGAATGTTTTGAGAGCATTAAGAAAGTTTCTACTATAGAAGTGGTCCATTGGGAGATGTAGAACTATTGAATTAAGAATATTCGGTAAAGAAGGAAATCAGAGTTCAGACATTTCCCCAATTGTACCTCCCCAGGAAAAAGGTGAAGTGGTGAGGAATATCACAGAGGGCTAGAAAAGTATCAGGAAGAAACCTCAATAGTTGCCTTCTGCTAAATGGGTGTTTTGTGAGTGGGCGTGTCAGCCATTTGGTGGAAGAGCCTATAACACGATTGTAATATTCCCGAATAGATTCACCAGTTCAGAAAAGTCGCCTATATGGCAGGAGTCCCCAACTCCCAGGCTGTGGACTAGTACCAGTCTGCAGCCTGTTGGAAACTGGAAGTGGTGGGCATACATGTGAAGCTCCCACTGCCACTGATGTTTCTGCTGCTGGTCCGCAGAATCAGAAAGGTTGGGGACGGCTGCTCTATGGCATCAGAATGGTATCCAACTGTATTTCTGAGACTCTGGATAATCCGGTGTGTAATTTGTAATGCAAGCGCCTCTTTATTTCCCTTGTTCTCTTTCATTTTAGATCCAAAAGAGCAACCAATTCAGTGGATGGGAAACGGATAACAGGACAAAATAATGAAGGAGAATTCTATTATGGTAAGATTATTTGCTTTCTTAATGCCCATTATAGATTTGGGCACTTCCTCATAGAAGCTATGAAATACAGCCATCCATTGTGGAAATTGGCCTCTCTAACTTAATCTGCCCTGGCAACAAAGCCAAATAAGAATTTGATCTGCACCAAAGAACATCTCCTTTCATGCCAGTTTCTGGTAGGAGAAGACCCACAGGACTTCTGTGATTAGACTTCCCATCCTATGAGTGTCATCCAAAGACAAGCGAAGTGGGGAAAGAGAAATAGACTCAAGAAAACGGGCATCAAAGCTGCTCTTCACACCACATTTTTTTCCGGAAGTAACACCCTTTTAGTAAAGCTGCCCATGGCTTTACCAAATAATTTGCTCCCATTTCGTCTCCTGCTAGCCACAGGTTGTCAGAGAAGTGAGAGCAATAGCATTTTGGCACAATTGGAGAATTGTGACACTGAAAATCAGTGCTAAGGACCAGAAAGGGGACATGCAACCACCACTGGCTCTCACCCCGGGTCTTGGTCCATTTTAGATTGACCAGATAACACTGATGGTGCTAGAAGAAGCTGGTAAACACAACTGAAGCAGATAAATGTTGGTGTTGAACGTTGAAAATGTTGATGGTGCCTCTCCTCTAAATTCACTTGGCGGGTCCTCTCCAATCTGCAATTAGCTGATCATGCGGAAGAATCCTTTATTGTGTAATGCCAACATAATGCCAGCATTGCCAAGATGATGACAGCAATGATAGCGGTCCAGTCTAGGCCCAAGATCATTAACTCCTCTTGGCCCAGTGGAACAGTTGTGTTAATGTAACCAAACATGGGACTGTAATGGGGAATTACTGACAGATGCATTTTTTTCGGGGGTAATTCCTTAGAGACTAGTTGATAATTATAGCTGAAAATAAAGAATGAGAATGGTCAGAATCTGAAATGGGTAAAAACACTAATTCTCTCCCCGATGCTCCTTTTTGTCTTTCTATCTTCATTTTTGCCATTTAGGTTCGGGGTATAATGAAGATGGTGAAAAAAATCATATCAGTGCAAAAGAGGATAATAGAGGTAATATCTTTCTTTGGGTTTCCGCATCAAATTTTAACTTTTTAGTGTGGTGCCTCTCTCTACTTGTATCCACCTATGGGATACTCCCCTTGGCAACAGGGTTTTTTCCCCTCCTTTGATGTTACCTTTATTTTACACTCCACCCATGTACGGTACATCCTCGAATTGCCTTTAGGTGTAATTATGCTAAAGCCACATTTCCTTTCTTAAGCCAAGGTCACGCAGAGCAGTTTAGAGATGTGTAAAATGTGGTCATGTCTGGCTGACAATTCTTTTGCAGTGCAGTCAGGTAAAATAAAATAAACATGAAGGAGGAAGATCATCCTAAAGGAAGTCTCTCTTTGTGGTTGCTAGAATTGACACCAGCTTAATAACACGTAAGTTCAGAATAACCTTGAGGTTCCTAAAGTGGAATATACGGAGTTAGAAGGGACTTTGGAGGTCTTCTAGTCCACCCCCCTGCTGAAGCAGGAGACGCTCTACCATTTCAGACAAGTGGCTGTCCTGTCTTTAAAAACACCAGTTTTGGAGCACCCACAACTTCTAAAAGCACCCATTCCATTGATTAATTGTTCTACCTGTCAGGAAATTTCTCCTTAATTCAAGGTTGCTTCTCTCTTTGATTAGTTTCCATCCATTATTTCTTGTCCTGCCTTCTGGTGCTTTGTAAAACAGATTGACACCCCCCCCACCTTCCTTTGTGGTAGCCACTCGAATACTGGAACACTGCTATCATGTTTCCTCTAATTCTTTTTTTCACTAGATTAGACATATCCAATTCCTGAAACTGTTCTTCCTATATTTTTGTCTTAAGCCCCATCTTTGTTGATCCTTTCTGCACTGTTTCTAGAGTCTCAACATCTTTTTAATATTGTGGAGACCAAAACTGGATACAGTATTCCAACTGCGGCCTTACTATGGTTTTATAAAGTGGTACTAATACTTCAGATGTTCTTGATTCCTATCCCTCTGTTAATGCAACCTATAATCAGTCCATCAATTAATAATCTATAAGAATTATAATATAGTCAATAAAACCTATAATCAGGCAGGCAATTAATCAAGGGAAAAAAGAAAGATTTACAGGATTGAAACTAAGAAATAACAGATAAAACTAGCATAAATATCATAAGATATTTATGAGATAAATACAAAATAAGCATTTAGATTTTTCCCCCATTAATCATTGTAGTGAAGGTAGGTTTTTACTTCATTATCACTGTGTTACTATTTTTGATGTGTTGGTTTGTTGGTTAGTTATACTTCTTTTGGATACTCAAAAGTTGTGCTGGTATGGTGTTTTTTTTCCTTTTCCATCAAACCACGGCTTAATGTGTTGCACGAATACACACAGTGTCTTATTCTGCTGGTTTATACATCATACCAAGCCGTAAAGTGTTTGCTGGAGGAAAATGCACATATTTAGTCATTTAGACAAAGGCCTGTATTGTTTTTATAAGTCAGTGGGAATAAGATCAATTTGAACCAACGGCAGACATATGCAACTTCTCGGTTGTTTTGGAGTCCAACAGAAACAAAAGTTTTCTTACTCTGCTTGTGGCAGGATCTGACCTTGAGGTTCCTGAAGTGGAATATACGGAAGTACAAGTATCGGTGCCTGACCCTTACCGAGGTAAGGAGGACGTCTTGGGACACAGTGTGTCCAGAACAGCTGTGAGATTGATGGTAGTTCCTGAAATTGTTTTTTTTTTCAGAAGCAGCCCCAATTAGGCCTGGATAAACAGGAAGAAATACACCTTCAAGAGCCAGCAGCTCTCTTCCTTCTAGCTTGTTTATTAATTAACAAACCAGCCTTTTATCCTGTTCATTGTGACAAGATGGGCCACCTCATGCACTGAAACGTTAGCCTGAAAAAGCCATCAAAGCTATCCCGTTCATTTCTGCCTTCAGCCTTCCGAACAGCAGATTAAATCAAACATTAAGTGGGCCATTCTCATTTCCTGCTTTTTCCCTATTGGCTAGCTTAGAGAGCAATACGTACCCTCAGTTCATGCAAAACTATCCTTCAGGGCCTGTTTCTCCTGTACTCCTGAATCCCTTATTGGAGTATTTCCATCCTGCCATTCATTCAGTCAACAGAGGCTCTAAAAGGCTTGTGTGATGTCTCCCAGTAGACAAATAAATGGATTGGTGTGAGCGGGAAAATACCCCATGCCCTGGGGAGGGGGGGAATAGAAAAAGGGTGCTAAGGACCAATTTATTTGGGCAGTTGGGGGGCAGTAAAAATGCCCCACCCCAATTAGTCAGCCATGTCTTGGGATTTCTCCCAGCAGATTTGAAGACACATCTGGTAATGCCTTGAATCCAGAGTCTTAGGTATGAGCAACCTAGGCAAGATTGTGATTAGTTCATGTTAGTTTTGTGAGTGCTTGTATATTTATGAACTTAGAAAGTGGGCCACACCTTAACAGAGCTTTTATAGTCTCATAAGCAGGGATGATCTCATTTGATATTTTAAACAGAAATCCTTAAAAGGTTAAAGAAAAAAAAACCTTCCAAGCTGTCATGCCAGCACATTTCCTTTCTTCTACAAAACGAGACTGAATGTCTCACTTCCAGATTTGAATAAGGTTCCAATTTTTTTCTCTCAGTTTGGTGCAGGCATTTAATAATGGCATCTTGGTTGTTATTAAAAATGTATCTTTGTATATGGCATTATTGAAAGCGTAGGATCCTCTCATAAAAAATAAATGATGAATGAGTGATGGATATGCTTTCCTAGATAAAATTGTTAGCCTATCATTTTATGAAAGATTTGTAACAGGGAGGAAAATACAGAAGGAGCCTTCTGGATTACCTAAATTGTATTTTGATCAGAAGAATAATTTGCCAGAGAATTAATTGCTTGAATTAAATATGTTGTTTATTAGATGCATTCATAACAATCTTTCAGGAGGACAGAAAAAGAGGAAGGTATAGAAATAAATTCTGTTCACATTTGCAAGAGATAACTGACAAATCATTTCCACACAAGTGGTTTATAGCATTTTCTGGAGTCATCTAATCAGTCTTCTGCAAAAAATAACAGCAATGAGAACAGGCTGTATATTACTTTATAAAGGGCTGAGTGATGCTCTGAAGATGCTAGAAGCCAAGGAAGTCACTGATGCAGAAGACCTCTGCAGATTAAACTATGGGTCAGTGCCTCACCCACTGGTTAGAGACCAAACAAAATAAAGAAAGTATGGCCTGCCTCAGCTATATTGGAAGCAGCTCCACTGGTCAGCTTCCCTGCCACCTTTAATTATAGTTCAGTTTGACCCATTTAAAGATAGTTTCTGATTCTGCACTGATTTTATTTTCTAGCTCCTGTAACAAATAATGAGACGGTTTATACTGAAATCAGAAAAACTATTAATGGTAAGTAAACAAAGGGGAAAAATTAGATTGAAAAGTTAAGTATCTCTACCTGGTACTTTTACACCTATTTTTGTAAAGAAAGATGAAAGCAAAAATAATGAATTCATAGATTGCAAACTCATACCCGACATAATGAATATTCTTGGAAATAAGTCTCATGAAATTCTGTGGAATTTAAATTCTGAATATATATCTGCATAGGATTATAGAAGAGAAACTAAGGCTTATATTTTTTCTGAGAGTAAATCCTATTAATGGGATTTACTTCTGAGTAGTTATAAAGTCAGGGATTACTGTGCAGGCAGTTATTAAACTACTCATCAACATCACGTTGACTGTGCATCTCAGTTCATCCTTTAAGACATACCTGGTGTTATTCCTGTTCCAATTATTTTGATCTGAGTAAATCTCTCTGAAGTTCCTTGTATGCAGTCATTTAAACTTGATGTCATCATAAATTGTGGTTTTAAAACCTTCCTTGCTTGTCATCCAACAGAACGCCTCATTGTTGCTTTCTATTCCTAATTTTTCTTCCCTTTTTAAATGATGGTAAATTGTCCTGTGGTGAATTGGCTGTGGCAATAGTGTCCAAATTAAGATAATTTGAGCCTGGTCATTTGTGTCTCAAATGAGAAATCTGGGTTGATTTCTTGATGATCTCTTTAATTGTTTTCTTGTAATTACTATTGTTCAGGTACGCCACTTATTTTTATCTAGGGATGAATGGCAACCTTTCATTAATTTGCACAGGAAACAGTACATATCAATTTGTACATCCTTGCCAAATATACAAGTTTTTATCTCCCCAAATATGGGATGGTGATCTCTATCGCAATTTTATAACCAATAATATTTTATTCGGAGTTTTCTTTTTTTATGCATAGGATTTTTAACCAAATTTAAGTTTAAACTTTTGGGGGTGTTATGTCTTACTGAACTTTGTCTTTTATGGTTTTGGAAAAACTGATGTGGAAAAAACTGCATATACTAAAAAACCCTCTTCAAATATAGAAATGAAAATATGGAAGGTTTTAAGGAATATGTGGATATCTTGCTGACTGGCTGTTTTCTATATTTGTATTTATGCTTCAGTCCTAAGGGTCTTGGAATAATACTCCAGGGAAGATGTTATCTTCCTAGCTCCTGTAACTCTTATGGGCTACCAATGTTGGCGGGAGAGAGGGGGAATAGATCAGAAAGTAGATATTTGGTGTACTGTGAAAGTAAAAGCCTTTTCAATCTATAAACATATAAACATCCCGACTTGGAGGAAAAGTGGTATCAGCTGGGAGGTAATATCAATACAATCAGTCCTCAATTTGCCACCATAATTGAGCCCAGAATTAAGTTGACCTATCCAACATGGGATCATGTGACTGCAGGAGGGGGGGGCGCATGACCATTTACGACAGACAGGCTGCTCTAAAGGATATAAAGCACCTCTTCTGTGGGCATTGTAACTTTGAACTGTTGTAAAATGCCTGGTCCTTAAATGAGGAGTAATGTTTCCATTTCTTAAAGTGCTCCAAAAGTGTTTTGTCCAGAAGGCAACTGGGCTTTCTTGTTGAAACCAAAAAAAGTCCAGTTGCCTTTTGGGGAAAAACACCTTTGGGAGAACTATGACTCAATAGATATTTCTTAGAATGCAAAATTTGACTTGCCTCAGCTTGGCTTGGTTTAAAGAATTACTGATAGGAGGATTTTTCTTTCTCTTCCGGCCTCCTGCTACATTTCTTTTTTCCATCATCACCTAGGGTGAGGTATAGGCTGCTATATTTTATGCAACAATTCTCTTTTGGGAAAACGTATACTAAAACAAATTTCACTACTTCATCATCCTAAATGAGTTTGTGAAGGGCAGGTCTTGCTTCAAATCTTTTAAAATCAGTATTTCATTTGTTATAAGGAAGAAAATTTGTTTAATCAATGTCATTTGATTAAAATGTGATCTGGATTTGATTGGTGAGAAGCACCCCTTAGTTTTATATTCCACCTTCTCTCTTGCACATATCCGGCTGAAACTTCAGTTATTTTTGGAAATGTAGTAAGACTGTATTGTTCTAATTACATCTGTTTTTCCTGTGGGATACACAGGAAAAGTGTTTCAAATAGATAAGCAGGACATCATACAACATTAAAAGCAGTTTGGAAGTTTATTATGTTACTTATTGAATCATAACTATGTTGACTTTAATTACGGAGATAGTTCATAATGGTATTTATATAAAAACACACATTCCGCCCATACAGGAGAATCAACAAAACAAAGAGGTGGGGAAATATCTTGGCCTATGAACTCCATTTAAAAGCTCTGCTAGCTCCTGAGATTCTAAAAAACAGAGACTCTGAGTTCTAGTCCTTCCTTAAGCATGAAAGTTGAATAGGTAACTTTGGGCCAGTCACTCTCTCCAGGGATGTTCACTGCCTTGAGTTATTTGTAAAAATAATAAGTGTGGCCTTCTGGACTAACAAAACTTCTGAACTAACAATTCCCAGAGAATTCATAATTCTCAAGCAGCATGCTCAATGCCAATGCCAACAGACATCTGGAAGCTTCCACCCCCATTTCACTCATAATTGGAAAAGGTACTTATGTTATTTTCCTTTTTGTTTTTGCCCATTTGACATCTACAGGCCAAATAATAGGGCTCACCAAATTTCCTATGTTGTGCACTTCACTCTGTTTATGGAACCTTTTTCTCTCTCTGCAGTATGATAGAGGTGAATCTGTTGTGTGTGTGCTCTTTTGTTGTGCCTTGAATATTGCCCACTTGTATTTGAACATTTGATATCATGGAAGGATGTAACTGACTGTGAAAGTTAGTTTGTTCTATTAGGCATTATTCAAGTGAGATCTATCTTTCTCTCTCTCTTGACTTGCTGTTTGAAAAGACTTATTTTATTTCCTATTCTATTCTACTTAGTTGATGGTTATACTTTAAAGCTGCATACTACCTTGAACATATTCCTGTATTTAAAAAATCAGGGTACTTGTCATATTATAATGAAGAAAAGCACTATTGCGGTGTCTCTCCCAGTTCTTTTTAAATATGCACATCTAGGATGAGGATTATACTGTTTATGTCTTGCTATTTAATAACCACAAAACCTCCTGGGTGTTGATTCGGTAATTGAGTGACAGTATCTAGAAGCCAATAGGAGAAAAAAAAAATCAGCAAATCAGTGATACCAATTGATAAGAATTTCAAGGAAAAAAATCAGAACGAAACCTATGGTTTGAACTACAATTCGTTTCCCTAGAATTGTAGACCTGGAGATGGCCACACAGATCTGCAGTGTTCAATGTTTAGGAAACCCAACGAAACCCTCCTTGAGTGGTGGGTATGCACTAAGTTCTAACAAGCCTCTAGAGCAGGGGTATCAAACTCAAGGCCTGGGGGCTGGATTGGCCCATGGGGTGCTTAGATTTGGCCTGTGGGGCCATCCTGGAAACAGCAAAGGACCAGCCCGCAGTGCCTCTGCCTGCAAAAATGGAGCTCACAAGGATCGCACACAGCCCTCCCAAGCTCCGTTTTTGCTGGCAGGGAGTTGCAGGAGGCTGTCCTCACCGAAAACGGAGCTCAGGAGCCCATTTTCACTGGCAGAATGCTCAGGCCACCACAGGTGCCCCCCTCGACACGAGTGATCTCATGCTGGCCATGCCCACCCTGGCTGTACCCACCACGGCATCCCAAGGTCAAAGATAACCTGGTGCGGCCCTCAATGAAATTGAGTTTGTCACCACGTCTCTAGAGGTGAAAAATCTTTTATAGGTGGACTGTTCCCTTTTGTTGTGCAGAAAGTTTCCCCCAATATTTAAATAAAATTTAGTTTGCTGCAACTTATACCTTTTCTTTCTGGTCCTTAGTTACATTGGCCATGGAAAATAGTTCAATGCCATGAATATGGCTACTATATTTCCTAAGTCTTTTCTTCACACTGTCATCCCAAGGCCCTTCTGTCTGCCTAGGGCTTGTCCTCTATCATCCATATTACTGCCCTCTGAATCCACTCCGACCTGTCAGTACCCTTTTGGAAATGTGCCAAAAAATCACACAGACTACTCTGGACATGGTCTCAACAGCACCAGATTGAAGGGAACAATTATATACCTGTTTCTGATAGCATAATTCATTATGTCTCCTATGCTGGAACATTTCTGCTGTGACCAACACAACCTTGGTTATGGCCTAAAGTATTTTCACAAAATTATATCTTTATTCGGCTTATATTTTGTTTCCTACTGATCTCTTTCCCCTCCATTTTGGCTATCTCACACAACCAACCATCTACATGTAAAACCATGTCTTCGACTTTAAAAACGCACTTTGTAAACTGGTAAAGTATATTTTGGTGCAGTGATATTAGGTTTATTATCTTTTTTTAAAAAAAATGCTATAACTCTAGCCCACCCCAAGTTGTTCTAATCAACAACTTTGTGCTATACGGTGGAAAAATGACTCAGTTTTTAGGCGGCACGTTTTGTGTCGAGACAGGAAGAGCTCAGTTTAACATTCTGTCACCCACAACATTCTGTGGAAAAACAAATATTCTCAGCAACACCAAGCATGAGAAAACCTTGTTGCATTTTCAGAGCTCTAGAAACCTGTCGTGCCAATTTCCTGCTTCCAAATTCCAGACCTTCAAAAGGATGCTCTTATATGAATTAAGATTCCTCCTAGCAAATACCAGCCTGATTTGGAATCCCATGAAAGCGTTAAACATCATTTAAAAAATACTAGGATTGGATATTTTGTCCAGTTCTGGAAGAGTAGATGGACATAGCATCATAGAATTCATAAACTTCATGTGTACTTTGCTCATTTCTTTATATATGTTTGGATTTACATTTGTGCAAGAACCTTTATGGTGCTTGTATGCTGATCCAATCTTTAAATCTGGAATGCATTTGCCAAACGGCTATTCTACAGTAACTTTGTTAAAAGTGCAGGTGTAAATTATATTCCTTTCTTTGGAACTCCTACATTGTTTCCTTATGAAATAAATATTTGGAAACATAATACAGATAACCTTCAACTTATGATCATAATTGAGTCCAAAATTTCTATTGCTAAGCAAGACAGCTGATAAAGGAAATTTTCCCCATTTTACAACCTTTCTTGTCACCTTTGTTAAGTAATAACTACAGTTGTTAAGTTAGTAACATGGTTGTTAAGTGAATCTGGCTTCCCCGTTGGCTTTGCTTGTCAGAATGTCACAAAAAGTTATCACATGACCCTGGGACATTGCAAGCATCATAAATACATGCCAGTTGCCAAGCATCCGAATTTCAATCACATGACCGTGGGGAAGTTTCATTGGTCATAAGTGTGAAAAACAGTCATAAGTCACTTTTTTCAGGGCCCTTACAATTTCAAAAGGTCACTAAATGAACTGTTGTAAATTGAGGACTACCTGTATGCACAATCAAGACAGACTGGTAGAGAAGATACAAGCATCTCTAGAATCAAGACAGCACTGATATCTGAAGCATTTATCGTTATGCTGTAGTAGTCATAATGTGAAAAGTGGTCATCAATCACCTTTTTCAGCCCTGCTATAATTTCAGATGGTCACTAAACAAATAGTTGTAAGTCAAGGATTACAACTGCAAGCAGGCAGTGTTCAAATTTTTCATGAACACTGACTGAGCACCTGAATGAAGGATCAGCATTACATTCTAAGGACCTAATGCAGTAGTAAGGAAGATTACCAGCTAATGGGGTACGTGAATAATAGGAAATGCAGCCCCATCACATCTGGGGAGTACTAGATTGAGGAAAGCTAATTTAAAGTGATCTAAAGCCATATTGGGAGATGAAATAATTTAGCTGTTTTAATATTAACAGATTATGCAGCAGAGAAACAATTAGGTTAGACTTCATCATAAAATATTGCTGACCACTCACCATAGGGTGAGTAAAACATGGGATATCCGTTTATTTATTTTTTTTCAATTTTCCATCTCCCACAAAATTAGCGAACAACCTTTCATTTGGAGCTCTGGAAATATACAAAATTTATAATTTCCTCCTTCCTGGCAAGACAATAGTTAGCACCCTACAAAAGTCTTGGGTAATTTATTTCAGATACGTTATTTCAAGTGACTCTTTGATCTTAGCTGGTTGAAGGGGATTATTATTCTGGAGTTTATCTTCTTTACAAAATTCACAATTGCTTTCCATATCTTATGTCTGCCTTGTTAGTGAAGACCATGCTGGCTGGGGGTTATGGAAGGTGAAATCAAACTCATCAAATTGGAGAAGGTTGAACAAAAGGTTGAGCCACATCCTCTGTCTGTTTTTTCTTGCCATGTATATATCTGTGCAAGAAACCTCTATTTTTCTGAATAAATTGGAGAAGAGCCTGGGATCGACATGAAATAGAGGGTTTCTAACTTTAGAAGGTGCTGCAAGGGAGTGGGAGGAGGAAAACATTTGCTTGCTTAATTTTTAGGCTTATATCCCACCTTTTATCCAAAGCTTAAGGCTCCATGGAAAGCCACAGAGAAGATCTGGGAGAAATTAGGTGATGATAGTTACCATATATAGTATATTATAAGGGAAAGGAAGAAAGCATTACAGGTAGTCCTCAACTTATGATCACGGACCATGGGAATGCTGCAACTGTCATAAGTGTGAAAAATGGTCCTAAGCCACTTTTTTTCAGTGCCATTGTAACTTCTAACAGTCTTTAAATCAATGGTTATAAATCAAGGAGTATTTGTAGAAAGAAACTTAGATGCGTTCTGCCTTGATTCTCTGCAGATAATGAAAAATGCAATCAGGTTTTCATGATGTTATTATAAACTAATTCAATAGAGTTACAGATTTCTTGTGAAGGATGTTTGCTTAGTCTACTCAAAGGGATGACACATGCATAACATTTCATTTTTTCTCTTTTCCCACAAGTACCATTTTCTGTGATCTATTGGGCTGACAAAAAGTGACTAATCAAAAGCCATTCCCCGAGTTTCCATGGCCGACAACAAACTTATTTGGAGCAGCAGGAGTTTTGTGAGAGAGTTACATATAGAGGGTATATCAAGAATAGCGTTGAAGGACCAAAGGAAAGGCCATATAAAGGCAACAGTCAGATAAGAGGGGCTTGAGCCCTTGTCAAGAAAATATCTTGAGAACAACATTTCATCTCATATAGGGCTCTCTCTAGTTCCCACAAGGTGAGGGAAGGGGATGCACATTAACTCTTGCAAGACTCTGTTGCCATAGCTGTTACAGTACTATTGTTCTGTTTTTCTAAGAATCTTGTGAACTATAGTCGGATGAGTGTAGTGGAATGTAGTCTGGATTCCCAGGAGGGAGGGGCTGCATTCCAGAGGGAAAGAAGGCAGGGATGCATGGGAGGTTTGGTTGGGAGGAAGAGAGTTTAAACAGGTCTTCCCTAACGATTTCCAATTGTGGTCACATAGCTGTTTTCTGGCAAGATCTCGGTCCATAGGTGAGGAACAATGAAGGAATCTACTCAGAAATAACTCCATGTGTCAACAAATTTTAGCCATTCTATGTGCTTATGTCACAGAGAACTAGGGAAATTTCCAGTGAGTCAGTTTTGTGTAAATAATGGACATAAGCCTTGTGGGAGGAACAGGACTGTATGGCATGGGTTAACATTTTTAGTTTTAGAGATAAAGACTGGTTGGATGTTGCTTGCTTTTCTCAGAATGTTTTTCTACATTATTCCACATTACTAAATGTACTTCTCTGGTCCCCTGGAGACTTATATCATCATAAGCATTGCACCTAGTTCATGCATCCGATCTGTCATATGCTTCTTTTGGCAAATTATATTAATTACCATTTCCCAAGTATGGCCATTAGTATTAGTGCTACAGGGAGGTAGTTGGAATAACTGTTGCTTAGGGGTTGTCCTTGAAACATTCACCAGTTAGGGGGACCATTTTCTTTTTTGTTTGCTCTGCAGATAAGATGAACTGGGCATGTTTATGAATTACTGTAATACATTTTGCTTTTTTTAGCCTCATGCATAATGATTTGAAAGTAAATTGCTCAGGTTTATGTAGGAGTTCGGGAAAAGGAATATAAACAGTCATCAAATCAGAATGCTTTGGTCAATTTTTTCTTGATTTCTGAAATTGATATAAAGAGTTGATTCATCAAAAATGTTCTGGCTCTCAACAAATTTGCTACCAACAAATGACTGCTATGCTATTGTCAGAAACAATTAGACCTGACTGAATAAGTTACCTAGTTTGGGTAATAAAATGTCTGAAAGAAAACAAGCAAGCTCAAAGAGCACCAATAATCCTCAGACTTTACTTTTCCTTATCTGAAAAATGAAAGTTAGGATTATTTAAGCCTTATCTTGAAATGCGAGGTAAATGTACATAATTAACAATTTAAAGGAAAATCTTAGAGTGCTTGAGTGTACATTTGTCTACTAAAGTGATAATTTTAGGAGTGGTGATTTTTAATCTATATCTTATGATTTTCAGATGCCGGGGAGAACAGACATTCTGTAAGTATATTTTTCATTTGACTAGTACACATTGGGAGAAGTGTGTAATATTTCAGTTGCCAAAGCAGAAGCCAAGTTGTCTGGAATTGATTCATAAATATGTGTTAAGCCTATTGCACTTCATTAAGTGTATTCTTGCATCTGTGGGCTGTATATTCTAAATAGACAGAAGGGAGATGTGATAGTTTTAATCAGCAATGGGATTCAAAAAAATTTACTACTGTTTCTGTGGGTGTGGCTTGGTGAGTATGGCAGGGGAAGGATACTGTAAAATATCCATTCCCTCCCCACTCCTCAGGGAAGGTTACTGCAAAATCTCCATTCCCTCCCCTCCCCACTAACCTGCTTTCCAGCTCTGTTCTCCTGTGCAGGGCAACAAAAGAAGACCCAGCTGATCAACCGGGACACGGGAGGCAGGGAATAGGTGGGGGCAGGGCCAGTCAGAGGTGGTATTCTGAACTACTCAAAATTTCTGCTACTGGTTCTCCAGAACTGATTAGAACCTGCTGAATACCACTCTGGTTTTAATGCTTGAAACAGTTTCAAGGATTACATTGTCCTGGATTAGGAGCATGCAAGTTCACTAATACCAGCTTGTATGTATACTGTATACTGTATTGTACTGTGAATTAGGACAGTGTGTGATAAACGAAATATATAGTATACTTACAAGCTGGGTATTATTCAACTTGTACATTGCCAATTCAGGTTATCCTGAAAAGGTTTCTGCTGTTTTTGGCTGTCTAATGCCAAATTACTGCTATTTCTTTGTCTGTGGTGCTGGAGACAAGCTTCCCAGAAAAAAAATGCACTCTAAAAAGTTTGATAAACCTGTTAAAAGAAGCATGCAATTAATAATAGCAAAAAATAAGGCTAACTAAATGCACATACAAAAAAAAGGCTGTTGAGACTCTAGAAAGGGTGATGAATGGTTGCAGGAACTCAGTATGTCTAGTCCAATGAAGAAAAGGACGAGGGGTGACATGACAGCAAGTATTCCAATATTTAAGGGGCTGTCACAGAAAGGAGGGAGTCAACCGATTCTCTAAAGCACCAGAAGGCAGAAGAAGAAGAAGAAACAAGGATGAGAAGTTATCAAGGCAAGATCCAATATAGAACTAAGGAGGAATTTCCTGAGAGTGAGAACAATGAATCCGTGGAATGGCTTCCATTCAGAAGTTGTGGGTCACTGGAGGTTCTTAAGAAAAGATTGGACAGCTATTTGTCCAGAATGGCATAGGATCTCCTGACTGAGCCGAGGGTTGGACTAGAAGACCTCCAAGGTCCCTTCCAATTCTGTTATTCTGTATTCTATTCTTATGTTGCATGTTCACAGAGCAGTAGGTGGTTGGACTTCCTAGTGTAGATGGCGCTGAATGGGAAAGGAAAGCGCATCATGGAATCTACAGTCACTACCCTGAAACTGCCTAGTATTATGTTGTATTGGAGGAGCAACACTGCCTGGCCTCAGGGTGGATATGCTGCAATGATAGGCTGTGGGTTAAGTGCGATTAATGCTAATACATTTTCCAATTCAAGGACAGGGAGGAAAGCACAAAGATGTGGCCATGAGAAAGCACCCTGAGGGATCAGGAACCAGCTTCCACTGGGAAATAAGATGATTTTAATTTATCCTCTTACCCTTGAGCTCTTCGTGTCCCTTTCTGAACTATCCTAGAGAATCTTTCAATGCTCCAGAGCAATTTTTCAGGGGAACAGGGGAATTTGCAAACAGTATCCCTCTCCTCCTTCAGCATCCTGTAATTGCTGAACTCAAGCCAACATATATTTAGGTCGAATATTGAGAACACTTCCTAAGCACAAATTCAATCATGCAATCAACTGCTCTGGAGTCTCCTTTCTTGATAGCTTTCAAGGGTAATCTAAACTAGAGCCTGCCCTTTAATTCTAAAGCTTTTTGCCTCGGGATCCTTTCTTCAAAATTCAAGATTCAGCTGATCATCTGAACAAACTTTGTTCATCATACAGTAACCTTGTTGAGAATGGTCATATAACTCCTGTGGCCTGTTAAACTCTGTTGAGGTATTTCCAACAAGGGAACAAGGCAGGTATTGGTGTGAGATGAGTGCTGTGCAGATCCCACAGTTACTGTAACTGGAGGATTGCAGTTGTAAGCAATTTCACTATATCCCTGTACTTAGTTGTTGTTTCTGTGCAGTGAGTTCATATTAGGAATCTTGCTGTTTGGGGCTTGTTTAAGATGCCTTTTCAGCTTGCTTCACCTTCCAATTTGATGTGAACCTGTTATAACAGTTTGCTGGCATGAGTAGAAAGAAGAGGCAGAGTACAGAATTCTGATGAGTCATTGTGAGTTTGAAAGAACTTTGCCACCATAGTGTGTACAGAAACATTGAGAAAAAGATACGTTTCTTTTCTCTCTCTCTTTTTTTTTTAAGATCAGGAAGATATCTGTGAGTTTAGACCCAGACCTGAGAAGGCAGAATAAGACTTATAATTATTGACTAGCAAGCAAGTTCTGATTGGTTGACATTCATCTGTCAGCCAATCAGTTCTCTAGAGATATTTCGTACTGTCCTGAGAGGGCAAGCCTCATTGGCTAGTATTTTTCCTTGACTTGCAAATATGAAACATGCCTTTCCTCATGAAAAGCAAGAAAGCGGTTTAAACATTGTAGGTTTTGTGTACACCTGATGAAGTGGATTATAATTAATAAGAATTTATACCATTGTTAGTTTAATTCTTTAAGATGTTAGCAGCAACAAACTAACATCACTATCCATCTGGTATTTATGATGGATAGTAAAGATGTTGCTTCACTGCATCTTTACCAATTCCCAGCAAAGCTTGTGTTTGTTTGACAAAAAGTGCAAAATGAAATTAATTGTGTAGTTAAAAGAGGCTACAAACAAATGTTGCAATTTATATAAGTTGAACTAACCTGTTTAGAAGATGCTCCGATAGGAACTGAAATCAGCATAGCTGATCAATAGCCATCCGTATAATTTAATAGATTCCCTGTTAAACTTCTATTATTTCTGTTATTTGAAATCAAACTAAACTAGGAGAATTTCACAAAGTATAATGAAACTTGAAGCAAATGTGAACTATGTAGATATTTGGAGTTCTTTTAAGAGATGTCATCCTACTTTCCAGTGGACATAAAATAAAAGCTCATAGAACTACTGTTTGTCACTATCCACTTCAGATTCCTGGATGACTGAATTTCTCCGTGAGGCATACTACTTATGATCTATAAACTATCCCAAGTTAGTTTTGAAAGTTTCATGGGCAAATTTTGAGTTACTCAGAAAGGAACTGGGTGTGGGTTTCCTTCCTGGAATCAGAACTGGCAATCTTTCTGTACTGTTTAATATTACTACCATTTTCTGAAAACATATTAAAAGGAAATATCTTAACAATAAGGGAGCTACTTCATGAAACACTAATTTAATATTGTTTGGTTTGCCTCAGAAGTACAACTTCATTTTGTAGACTATGCTCCTTCAATCTTTTACCTCCTTGTATAGATGCATTTGTTTATTTTATTGAGATCTTAGTACGATATAAAATGTGTTTTAAGTGAAAAAATGAGAAAGATGTAAACTGACTTTATACTGTCCATTTCAAAGAAAATGTTAAAAATGGTAATGTGAGATGCTTAGGAAATATTCAAACACCCAAAATTGAAATTCTAGAATAGGCATTGGATATTTGTCTTAGAAATGCATATTTGTATACTCTTAATGACGCAACTCATAATGCTGTTGGAATGTACCAGCTTCTTTCTCTATTACAAAGTAACAATCCCTAAAAAGGGAGATGTTGTTACTTCCAGGTAATGATGGGATGTGCCCTTTGGAACAATATTCTCCCCATGATTAGACTGGCCCAAATCATCCAGTTTTTCAGAAAGTTTAAATTTTTTAAATACATTCCTAGACAAGGGGGTTAGGTGGCTTATTGGTGCCCTTGAAAACTTGTTGTTTTATTGTTGGTTGGGTTTTGCCCTCAATTGCCATTATGGTCTTTATATACTGTTGTTTACTATGGTAGTGTCAGGGTTCCGACTGATGCCCTAATTAATCAGGTAGTTCTTATTTGATATTGTATTTTTATGTGGTGTTGTTAACCACCTTAAGTTGCCACAGCAAGGCGGGTGGCCATATAAATCAAAGGTATATAATAAAAATGCATTTCTTTATCTTATACTTGAATTTACACTCAGTGGTGGGATTCCAATTTTTTTACAACTGGTTCTGAGGGCGTGGCTTTGTGGGTGTGATAGGGGAAGGATACTGTCTAGTCAGAGGTGGTATTTGCTGGTTTTCTGAACCACTCAAAATTTCCACTAC